GGAAATTTAGGGGGCTTTGCCACCCCCCCCCCCCCGGAAAAAGTGAATTTCCGCCACTGGCGGTGCTAATAATGTTCTCATGCATGTCTATTGATAAAAGTTTTCTAAAGTTACTTTATCCTTTTCAAAACGTAGATAAAACCTTACTGAAAATTTATCTTGACCTGCTAGCCGCAAGAACAAGAATATATATCTCGTTTGACTATTGAAACATTTGGATAAAGTGTTAATTTAACATTTGAAGGTCCAGTGACATCTTCAATGAGGCAATTACGGGATTAAGGTGCTTTTCTGTATGCTATAGAAAAGCACCTTAAGTTAGTTAATTATTAATATCAAAAGGGATTGCTAAACCACATCACTATATATTTAGTCACTTTGCTTTTAATGTTCACGACCTATCTTTATAATTGGTTACGAAGGTAAGAAAATGTAATAAACTGCTTAATGATTTATGTATCGAGCAAACTGGGGTCTAATAGACATTAATAACATCGATAAACGCCAGATAATTAAATACCCATGGTCTGCATTTAAACACAAAGGGCTCAATTTCCTTGGCAAAAAACGTGAAAAATAAACTAGAATAACAATTGGCTAGATACTTTTTATTATTTCAAAATAGACGACCGTATCCTCATGTCATCATTTGACCAAAGTAGACTCGACAATGATGATGATGATCGTGATGATGGGGATGATACAAAGACAACGATAATGAAAATGTGAACCGTCTATAGACCCAATTACTCCGACCATGTACCAATATGGAAAGGTTTACCCGAAACTTAAGGACGATGGCAACGAAAATTTTTATTGGCTCTTTCAATCCTACTTGACGACCAAACTATGAAAATATTATCATTTCCTTCTCGAACATTTTAGTCTACGAGTAAAAGCCAGTGAACTATATACATGGAAGGCTGACTTCAGCCAGTGATGTAATCAAAAAGTGAAGCCAAAGATGTCGGATTTTAAAGCTATTATTGCGCGTCATTCTCAGTCTCCTTACCCGCGCGGCCAAACATTTTTTGTATTTTCATGGCGGGAAGTGATGGGTCCGCGACTCTCGGGTTGTGTTTTTATTCATTTTAAAAGGGCAAAAAAGGAAATAAACTTTATTTATTTCATGTAAACCTGATTTTCTTCATCTAATCGATCTGTCTATTTTCCCACTGTATGTGTGAGTAAATCTGTATTTTTCGTTGCGAATTCAACCACTAATTTCAAGCTTTTTTTTTTTAATAAATCTGTATTTTTATAAATTGGGAATTTATTTTAGCTTTGGTTGTTTCGCTTTCTTGATTTTATGGTGCTTTTCAGTTTTCACACCATTATTTAGCTTATTTCAGTCCGTTTTCCTGACCTAAAACTGCTTTTTAACTACAGTTTTCGAGGCAGTTTTTAGCCAATTTAATTCCATACATGTAAGAAAATGTTGTTTTTTAATTTTTATTTAATAAAATCACTTTGATGATTCATCAAAGTGATTTTATATCATGATTGCCTTATAAACTTAAACTGTTTATTTTAATGAGTTATTGATGTGTGTGAAACCCTTGTCAATAGGGGCAATACAGATATTTTGGAAGATTGAGTGACATTTGTGTTTTGTTTTGTCACTCTTTGTCATTTACAAAAACAACAATCCCGCGCTGTTTTGCTTTCTTTTCACTCAAATATCGCATCTTTTAAATAAATAATAATTAAAATTTAAAACCGAACCCAAACAAAACACCAGAATTCAACTTTTCATTCAAATTTCGTCTGTTTTTCACCAGATTTTTACTCGGAAAGTAAAGAAAAATATGAAAGTTTTGTTGACCGCGCACGTAAGGGGACTGAGAATGACGCGCAAGAATGCCTTCAATTTCCGCCATGTTTGGCTTCACTTTTGGAGCTCGAGTCAGCCTTCCATGTTATATAGTTCAGTGGTAAAAGCATGCAAACTTTGTGTTTCGCCGCCATCTTGGAAGAAAAATTTTAAAAAATTATCTCGAAGGTCAATGAACTTTGTGACGTCATTGGTTGGGTAGCACCAAAACTACAAGAGAGAATTCGATTGCGTACGTGTCATGTTAGCTAAAAATATGTCGTTTTGAGCGTTATACTGGCCAGCACTCTTCGCAATCAAACAAGAGAAGTCTACACTATCAGATAAAAACATATCAAGCGACTGGGAAAGCAAGGAATGGCGCGATTTACAATACAGGTAATTGATCACAAAATATTGCATTAGTATTTACCTTTTTACGCTCGAATTTCTGCGTTTATTTAACACGGAGTAGGATATACACTATGACAAATAGTGTTACAAACAAGTTACATACTTGGTAAACTTTTCTGCCTTTTGTTTTGGCTCAAAATGCACTACGCGTGGTAATACACGGTATTATATAATATATTTTGTGGCATAAATTAGCAAACGCGCTTATTTTTAAAATGGCGGACAACTGTTGAACTTTTTATCAATTTTTTTCAACAACTAAACGCGACAAACCAGCCAAAATATGAAATTAAATATTCCGTAAGAATACAGCTATAATAGATATGAGTAATAAAAATTTTGGTTGCCAATGTCCTTTAAAGGTGATCTACAGTCCGATCTGCGCATGTGCACAAATGAGCCCACTTTTTATGATACAAACAGTTTAACTATGTTTTGAATTCTTGAAAAGCCTAATTGTTGTTTCTTGATCATTTATTATACTCTAGAAGCTTGAAAATATAAATAGTTGTCGAATAAAGCTCAATATTTTGGACAC